CACATCAAAATATACTACTCCCAGAGTATGCTTTGCTCTGGGGGCTACTTCTGATGCAAATGGAAATCTGGGTTGCTTGTCTTTCATGCATATTTCACATGACTTATCAGGCTTCACAATCTTCGAAATACCATGTACAAACTTCTTAGAACATAGATGCCCTAGGCTTCTATAGTTTAAATGCCCCAATCTCTTATGCCACAGCTTACTGTCATCTTCAGCGCCTTCTGTACTAAGACATGTTGCTTTAGCTGTTTCTACATTCACTTTGAAAGTTTTGTTACTTCCCTGTTTAGACTTCATAATCAACTTCTGATTGGAATCATACAACGTCAGGAGATTGTTTTTCATAACAATTGAGAAACCTTTTTCAATCAGCTGACCCACGCTCATCAGATTGCTTCTAATACCAGGAACATACTAAACGTCTTTGATCAGAATGTCTTTCTCATTCTTCACTCTAACTCTGACATCTCCCATACCTTCTGCATTAAGATACTTATCGTTGGCACATCTGATCTTTGTTCTCCTTCTGGAGTCAAAGTCTGTCAGCCATTATTTATTTTCAGTTAAGTGATTTGAACAACCAGTGACCGTATATCACCAATCTTCTGAGCATTTTTCATCAGAATCAGAAGTCATTAGTAACACAAGTTCATCATCAGAGTTTCTCTTAGCCATATATGCTTCTTCTGATTTCCTTTCCTTGTTTGACCTACAATCTCTGACAAAATGGCCAAATTATTTACAAGAGTAACATTGAACCTTCTTTTTGTCATACCTCTCCTTTCCTTTATGATATCTCTTATCATCAGAAGTTAAGGTTTTTGACTTCTGGAATCTATCACCACATCTATTCTGCTTCTGGTCTTTCTTGGCAAAAGAAGCCTTCAGAGCTTGCTCAGCTTCCATCTTAGAAGTTCTCTCAGACAGACGTAACTCTTGTGCTTCTAAGCTTCTTTGCAATTCTTCTATTCTCATAGTTTCCAGATCTTTAGAATGTTCAATAGAAACAACAATGTAATCAAACTGAGGAGTAAGCGACCTCAGAATCTTCTCTATGATTACCTGTTCAGATAGAGTTTCTCCACACGCCTTCATCTCGTTCGTGATCAGAATCACTCTGGATATATATTCAGAAACTTTCTCACTGCTCTTCATGTTCAAGTTCTCATATTGCTTTCGCATGGATTGAAGCTTCACCTTCTTTACTGATGCGTCACCACCGTAACATCTCACCAGTAAATCCCACGCCCCTTTTGACGTTGTTGAATCAGCAATCTTCTCGAGCACACTTTCATCCACACACGGATGGATATAAAACAGAGCTTTCTGGTCCCTCTTCTTCATCACCCTCTCAGCAGTTCTCTGCTGCAGCTGGTACATAACCATCTATAACCAGATCCATAATATCCTGCGCGCCAAACAGTACACGCATTTGTATCACCCATCTGTTTCAGTTTTTGCCATTAAAAATTGGGAGTTTGGTGTTCAAACTACTGCCTCCACTCATTTTAAACCTTGCGCAGATTTTTCAGATCTTCACACACACTGTTTCACAACCCACAAAATCAGATTCTGTTCAGATTTTGTTCAAGATTTCAACAGAAAATCAATGAGCCAAAATCAAATACACAGCTCACAATCACTCGTGTTTCCCAGAAAAAGCAGAACCAAGTGCTCTAGATACCAATTTGTTGGTGCAATGTAATGAAGTGGGAGAAGACGAATGAAGAAAAATGATAACAATACTATTGCTGTATTATAAAATAGAGGAGATAGAATTGGGTACAATATTGATAGCTAGTATAGCATATTTATACAAAATATTGAAAATGCCAAAAGGTCTTATTAAAGAATAAACATTGAGAATTGTAGACATTAACTAAATTATATTTCCAATAATTTGAAGATTATATTATTTTAAATCCTGTAAATTATTTTATTTTTTTTTGTAAAATCAACCTTGTCCAGTCATGTTTTAGAGGATTTAAAATGACAAAATCTTCAAATTTATAGGGTTTAAAATGACAGAATCTTCAAATAATAAGATTGGTTTTAAAAATAAATTTTTTACAATGTCTAAAAGAACAGAAACTTCAAGTAACACGATTAGTTTTACAATAATTTTTTTTATAGAGAATAAACCAAAAATCGTCTATATGACAAAAAAATAAAATCAGAGGCGGATGCATGTAGAAGAGTAAGGGGGCTCAAGCCCCCACAAAGGAAAACTAATTACATAATTGTATATAATACATTGTTTGAATAAATAATGATTATCTAATAATAAGTTCTAACGTGTCCACCGGATGGATGTAGATACAAGGTTCCATAAAGGAAAATAATTATCTATAATACATTGTATGAAATACATGATTATATCTAGGGTTAATACCTATTTTCACCTCTAACATATGGGGTGTATTTGAAAAACTCAGTGAACGCTTCTTATCACTAGACCAATGCATTTTCTTTGTTACAAATATTCATCAATAAATATTCATATCATTAACATATTAATTACAATTATCAATAAATTTTCTTAACTAGTTGGTTTAAATGATTTTTAAAAAAATGTTTTACATATTTTATCTTTTACTGTAACTTTTTTTAAATTTTAAATTTTCAAAAATCACTTAAATTTAAAAAAATCACTTAAATTTTCAAAAATCACTTAAATTTAAAAAAATAAGTTAAATTTAAAAAAATCACTTAAATTTTCAAAAATCACTTAAATTTAAAAAAATCACTTAAATTTTCAAAAATCACTTAAATTTAAAATCACTTAAATTTTCAAAAATCACTTAAATTTTCAAAAATCACTTAAATTTAAAAAAATCACTTAAATTTAAAAAAATAAGTTAAATTTAAAAAAACACTGAAATTTTCAAAAATCACTTAAATTTAAAAAAATCACTTAAATTTTCAAAAATCACTTAAATTTAAATCACTTAAATTTAAAATCACTTAAATTTTCAAAAATCACTTAAATTTAAAAAAATCACTTAAATTTTCAAAAATTACTTAAATTTAAATCACTTAAATTTAAAATCACTTAAATTTTCAAAAATCACTTAAATTTAAAAAAAAATCACTTAAATTTAAAAAAATAAGTTAAATTTAAAAAAATAACTTAAATTTTCAAAAATCACTTAAATTTAAAAAAATCACTTAAATTTTCAAAAATCACTTAAATTTAAATCACTTAAATTTAAAATCACTTAAATTTTCAAAAATCACTTAAATTTAAAAAAATAAGTTAAATTTAAAAAAATCACTTAAATTTTCAAAAATCACTTAAATTTAAAAAAATCACTTAAATTTTCAAAAATCACTTAAATTTAAATCACTTAAATTTAAAAAAATCACTTAAATTTTAAAAAATAAATTAAATTTAAAAAAATTACTTAAATTTTCAAAAGTCACTTAAATTTTAAAAAATCACTTAAATTTAAATCACTTAAATTTTCAAAAATCACTTAAGTGATTTTTGAAAATCACTTAGTTTTGAAAATCACTTAGTTTTGAAAATTTAAGTGATTTTTGAAAATTTAAGTGATTTTTGAAAATTTAAGTGATTTTAAATTTAAGTGATTTAAATTTAAGTGATTTTTGAAAATTTAAGTGATTTTTTTAAATTTAAGTGATTTTTGAAAATTTAAGTGATTTTTTTAAATTTAACTTATTTTTTTAAATTTAAGTGATTTTTTTAAATTTAAGTGATTTTTGAAAATTTAAGTGATTTTAAATTTAAGTGATTTAAATTTAAGTGATTTTTGAAAATATAAGTGATTTTTTTAAATTTAAGTGATTTTTGAAAATTTAAGTGATTTTTTTAAATTTAAGTGATTTTTTTAAATTTAAGTGATTTTTTTAAATTTAAGTGACTTTTGAAAATTTAAAATTTAAAAAAAGTTACAGTAAAAAGATAAAATATGTAAAATATTTTTTTAAAAATTATTTAAACCAACTAGTTAAGAAAATTTATTGATAATTGTAATTAATATGTTAATGATATGAATATTTATTGATGCATATATGTAATAAAGAAAATTCATTGGTTTAGTGGTAAGAAGTGTTCACTGCATACAGTATGTCCATGGTTTGATTCTTGCTGAAGGACAAAAAATTTTTAACTTTGAATTAACACTCAATTAATAAAATATTAATATAAATGTCATATGGAATTAAAAATTAAAAATTACAACTAATCAAACCAACTAATCAAGTCATGTCATTAAAATAATAATAAAAATATAACAAAAATATAAGTCACATCAGGCTTTTAGGTAATGTGGCATCCTCAAGATAAAAACTGAAACTTTTCAAATACACTCCATATGTCTGGGTGTAAATAGGTATTAATCCTTATATCTAATACTAAGTTCTACCTTAACCCATTCTCATAATAATATTTTTGTTATCTATTTTAAACAATTCTTCTAAGAAAATAAGTTTAAAAAATTAAAAGAGATAAACTAATTTATTATTACTACTTATCTTTTATAACATAAGCACTCATTCTGTATATTTCACCTTTTTTAAAGAAAAATTACAATTTAGTTTATTTGTCTATTTTATGTATTAATATATCTAAAATACTTGTTTTATATGTATATAGTTCATTTTAGTTTTTCATTTTTCAAAATACTTCATGATATTAAGTTAGATTTATTTAAAAAATAAATATTAAATAAATATATCTATTCATTAGAAAATGTGTTTATATTTTTTATTTTAATAAAAAAATTAATTTATAATTATTAATTACTTGTTTACATTCGTATATTTTAAAAAATATACAGAAACATTTAAAGATTTAATTTTGGACAAATGTTTCGCAGACTTGGCCAAATTTTGCACGTTCCAAAACGTCATTAAGTCCAATACAACTGCGCGTTTTAGTTTTTCCACTTCATATTCATCTATTTATAACACCATACGATGCCATTTCCAAATTATAGTTCTCAATATATCTTCAACTCTTCTCATTGCATATGTTTAGTAGAAGCATGTCTTTCTCAAAGAAACTAACATTGGTTTTATTACTTTCTTCTTTTCTCATCCATGCATCTTTTGGTAACTACTATATTGTATTCTACTATTTTTCTTTCATGTTTTTCTTATGATATGTATATTAAACGTAGTCATGAATTTTGCAGCTGAGATGGTATGCGAGGATTTGCCGAAAGAAGTGTGTACTTTTTCGATAGCTTCATCTGGGAAGAGATGTTTGTTGGAGACGCAGAAAGGAATCAATGGTGAAATTGAGTATAAATGTAGAACATCTGAAGTTGTGGTGGAGAGAATGTTGGAGTATACAGAGACAAATGAGTGTGTGGGAGGATGTGGTGTTAGTAGTATTGAAAGTCCTTAGTAATTTCAAATGCGCGTTGAAGCTTATGAGAGCATTATGTTAGAAATAACTTATTAAATAAGTGCTTCTAAAATTTGGAATTTGAAAATTTCGAAAAGGAAACCAATTTCAGGATTTGAAGAAATCGATTTCCATAACTAAATTTAGTTTTTCATTTATGTTTGTTATAGTGGAAATCGATTACACCTTTTGATGAAATCGATTTCTAGCCCATGTTTTGGGCTTTTTGGCCTGATTTTGGGTCTATTTTGTTTCCAATGTAATTTTGTATCCACTATAAATACTCCCTCATGGAATATTGTAATTATTTAATGCCAATTTGAATATTCTTCTCTCTCTCTCTCTCTCTCTCTCTCTCTCTCTCTCTCTCTCTCTCTCTCTCTCTCTCTCTCTCTCTCTCTCATTTTCCTTAATTTCACTTCATCTTCCTCAATCATCCATCACCCTCCATTAATTCACCCTTCAACCTTTGTGATTGTTCCAACATTTGGCATCAAGAGTCTATGTTCTGATCCATTATTCCGCTGCAATAATGACTACTGTTTTCAATGACAAAATTCCTACTGTGATCGGTGGATCTGGAACTGACTGTTTAACGCTGGTTTGTGAAATGTCGCGGAAGCAAGAGTCGCCACCGTCTTTTATTTTCTCCAACATGGACAGGACAAAAACACAGCAAAATTCCTTATGAGATAGTTTCTCGGTTCGGGAGGTAGATTTATAGAAAGGGAAGGTGTTAGCACCCTTTCTATCCATGGTTATCCATGGGCTCTTAGATACTTGCTCATTTGTATTTTCAAAAGTGTTTGCTTTTCAGATGTGAGTGGGTTTGAAAAAAGTTTCGTTTAAAGATTCAGATCGACTCTTGTATCAGTCCTCAAGAGTGTTTGAAAAATTGTTTTGAAAGCTTTTTGAAAGTGTTGGTGTGAAAAGAGTTTTTTATTTGTTTTTTAATAGAGCAAGTATCTATGAGTCATCTACCTACCCTAAGGAATTAGGCTGTGTAAATGTCCTTAAGGTAGTGCCATCTCACCATTGAGAGGTAGGTAACACCACCGTTGGAGGTGTTCGGGTCAATTCGTTTGTTAGGGACAGTGTGGTCACCAGAGCAACAGTAGGACACCTTAGAAGCTACCCTTATGCCATGTTCATGGACATAAGGACTTACTAAAACGTCCTATACTCGACGACCACGTTTCGGGGGGCAAGGCAACAGTGAGGCGTACCCTAAGAGTGGTGTGTGAATTTGTGTATTGCTTTCAGTTATGTTTTATCTTGTCATGGTATCGTGAGCTACGCATTGTTTTTATTTTTGGCCATTCATTCTTTCATGCGAAGTTTAGAATTTAAAAGTGCGGAAAGGAAAGTCCTACGCTATTACAAGGCGCGGGTCTATACATCGCCAAATTAACAAAGACCCGTTTTGAAATAAAATGTAGAAAATAAATAAATCCCTAATTACTATTACAAGGCTTGAGCAATTACATGATATTTGAAACGAAAAATAAGGACAAACGCGCGAAAAGAAATTAGAATCGAATGTTCGAGGGCGTTGGACCCTTTAAAGAAATTAAATGGAATTAAAAATTAATTAATTATTTAATAAAGGAAAGAAGTTATTTTTTTTAGTTTTTGGTATTTATGGAATAAAGAAAATTAATTAAAATTAGAAATTAAATAAAACCCTAGTTCTAAGTTGTTTTTAATTATTAAAAAAAATTTAAAGTTTAAAACCTAATTTACCCTAATTAATTAATTACATGTTTATTTATAAAATTAATTAATAGTTAATAATAATAAGAAGAAGAAATTATTTATTAAGAAAAAGAATAACAATGCTAAAAACCTAATTTCTACGTATTTTAGTTATTTAAGAAAAACATTAAAATTTTAACCTAAATTAATCTAAATTGATTATTAAAAATTTATTTACAAAAAATATTAATGAAATAAATATTAAATAAACATATTTTTATTTTTTGATTTCTGATTTTTTCTGTATTTATCATGAAAATTATTTTGTGAATTAAAAGAAAACAATTAAAAAAACAATTAAAAGAATAAAAAAGGAAAAACAATGAAAGAAAAAAATTAAAAGATTGAGCAAACCCTGGGGGTGTCTGGACCTAAAGGGAGGTCTTTGTAGAGCAATTTGGCCCATTGAATCAGGTCCTTTTTGACTTTCTGGCGTGTGCATGTGGTAAGGTTGACTGAGGTGCATGGTGAGCCTCTTTGGTGGACTTCAGATTGGAGCTTCTGGACGCGTGGCAAGCCAGATGGTGAGGTTGTATGATGAACCTTTGAGGGCATGCTGTATAGAATCATATTGAGAAAAAAATTATGGAAGAAGTGGGGGACCTGGGAATCAAACCCAGGTCCCAATACCTGCAAGCCAGCGCACCAACCATCCAAGCTATTGAGTCACTTTGTTATTATTATGGGACATGATTAATATAATAGAAAAAACAATATTATGCTGGAATAACAAAAAAAACGCGCCAATGTTTAAACTATCCAACCATGTCCAGACACGCATGCATCGTCTTCATCTTTTTCCTGGAAATGATATCAAATAGCGGGGGTTTTAAACCCCCACTAACTGCAAAGCATAAAAATAGCGATTAGCATATGAGTAAACATAAAAAGGGCGCGAGGTGGTTGTTCAATTCGTCCTGATGTCCTGATTTCAAAGGTACCAGTTTGGATGGCCAATTTTTCCTTATGTGTAAAACCCCAAATTGAAGCTTCTGAAACCCTAACCTACGTTAATGGTGGATTCTTGTACAGGCAGTCTTAGTTCAATTGAGTAGTACCATTAGCTTCAGAGCATTCATGTTAGTATAAATCAATCAACAAAATGCATGAACAATGCTTAAAAATCAAAACACGATAATGGATAATTTGATGAAAAGTAAGACATCGTTCTACCACTTCTTTGGGTATGGAGGCCTGGATCTGATTGGAAACGCTTCCTAGGTCGTCCAGCAATGTATTGGAATAGCTTTTAGGCCTTGAAACGTGCAGCAGCTATGAAAACAGTTTCCAATATTTTGTCCAAAATTGCAAGTTTGTTCTTGATTCTCTGCGCAGCTTCTTGTCTATGAGCATTAGGTTAGCTTTTGTATATGTAATTGAATAGAATTAGGTCAAAAAGCCAGCCAAAAATCCATCCATTTATGATTTTGAATATTTGATTTTCCATATCTTTTTTTCAATCTTTTTCATGCCAATTATGCCAAATTTGGATGACTTTATCCTTGGTGATTGATACACGAGATATTGAGGTCATAATGAGTGAATTGGCTGCACAAAAGGATTTGAAAAACATGATTTAGTATTTTTCTCATAATTAATTTTAATTAAATGAATTAATAAGATTAACAATTCAATTAATTAATTAAAAATAAGAAAATAACTCCCTTTTAGGTCAATGGGTCGTGCATGGCCTTTGGGTAATGGTTCATGGAAGAAATTGAGGCCCATTAGCAATTTTGAGGCATTTGAAGTAAAGTTGACTTTTCAAAGTTCCCAAAAATTTCCCAACTTCCATAAGGCATATCTTGCTCAATTTTTAAGCTTTGATCATGTTCTTGGACATTTTGGAAAGGTATTGAAGTCCTCTAACCAATGCCTTTTGTCCCATGTCATTTTGATTTATCAATCTCAAGTTATGGTCTTTGACTTGAAGTGCCTTTTTGTTGACTTTTGAAAATGACCTATAATGTTGAGATTGATAACTTTTTGTGAGAGCATTTCTTGGACTTGAAGTGTGAAGATGAGTTGTAGGAAATGTCATTCTCTTCAAAATGAGCTTTGGATGGAATTTTTCTGATAAACCATGTGGAAGTTATGCCTTGGTCAATTTGCAGTTGACTTTTCAGCTGTCCAAAAATAGAAACTTTTGCATCTTGAGACTTTTTTAGCCATGCTTTGAGAATCATGATCAAGAATTGATCAAATGATGTTTGTGGCTTCAAAATAAGATGTTGACCAAAAATTTTGACTTTTGACTGTCAAATGACCATTTTGCCCCTGCAGTTGACTGTGAAGCAATTAGAGTTTTTGCCTGTGCCATTTGATGCTGTGAGTCTTGAAACTTGGCATATGGATGCTTGACAATGTATGTAGGCATGTGGGACTTGTTTGGACCCTTGGAAACTTCAATTTCTTTGCCAGAACCAAAACTCTAATTTTTGACTGTTAGGAGGCAATTGGACTGTGCAACCCTTGAGAGATTTTGAACCTTGATCTTGGAAAATCTTGAAGAGTATGGGAGGGAAAATTTTGGGGTACAACAGTTGCCCCTGTTCAATCTTCTTAGACCGGAGGATGTAGACTGGCTGGCGCCTTTCGTAATCCGAAGGTGGAAGATGATTGAACACTAGAGTGCCCAGAAATTTGCACTCACATTGTAGAGTATCAGCAGCGTGATAGCGGGAATGGGCTTACAGATGCCATTTGGAGAGATGATGAGAAGGAGGATGGGCTTATAGATGCCATCTGGAGTTGTGACAGAGCCTTGTCGGGAATGGGCTTACAGATGCCATTTGGAGACTGTTGGTATGTGGAGAGATGGGCTTATAGATGCCATCGGGAGGTTGTCGATTGTGTAAGAGATTCTTTAGCGAGAATTTGCGTACCTGAAAAAAAAGATAATTACCTGGCCTGTTACAGGAGTTGATCTTCAAACCCTTTATGTAGGTGTACCCTGGCTGGATACAGGTATCGAATCTTTAAACTCTTCAGACGTGCCCTGGCGAGATACAGGAATCGAGTCCGGAGAATATAGTCGTCAACAGATACACCCTGGCGAGATACAGGAATCGGATCTTTGAACTCTTCAGACGTGCCCTGGCGAGATACAGGAATCGAGTCTGGTAATGTTGGTCGTCAACAGATACACCCTGGCGAGATACAAGAATCGAATCTTCGAACCCTTCAGACGCACCCTGGCGAGATACAGGAATCGAGTCTGGCAATGCTGGTCGTCAACAGATACA